AAGGGGGAGGGGAAGGGGGTTTTGAAATAAATAGGGAGAGAGTGGGATGCGGATAGAAGAGGGATAGAGGAGAGGATAGGTGGAGAGGAAACAAACAGGTCGAAGAGGCGGGGATGGAGCCAGGAAAGGTGAGTGTAGGTAGGGGGTGAGGAAGGGGATAGGTCAGTCCAGGGAGGACGGACAGGTCAAGGGGGCGGGATGAGGTTGGTCGGTAGGAGATGGAGGTGCGGCTTGAGGTGGGAGGAGGGGATAGGTGGGAGGAAGAACAGGTTAGGGAGGCAGGGACGAGCTGGACTGGTTTTGGGATGCGGTGGGGCAAGGGGAGATTTTGAAACTTGTGAAATCCACATTGATACCATTGGGCTGCAGGGTTCCCAAGCGGAATATGAGTTGCTGTTCCTGCAACCTTCGGGTGGCATCGTTGTGGCACTGCAGGAGGCCCAGGATGGACATGTCGTCTGAGGAATGGGAGGGGGAGTTGAAATGGTTCGCGACTGGGAGGTGCAGTTGTTTGTTGCGAACCGAGCGTAGGTGTTCTGCAAAGCGGTCCCCGAGTCTCCGCTTGGTTTCCCCGATGTAGAGGAAGCCACACCGGGTACAGCGGATGCAGTATATCACATTGGCAGATGTGCAGGTGAACATCTGCTTGATGTGGAAAGTCTTCTTGGGGACCGCGGACAAGGGAGGCGCAGTTGTAGTATGGCGCACTGACCTCTACATCGCCGAGGCCGGACGCCAACTCTCCGACACCTCCTCCTACCGCCCCCTTGATCATGACCCCACCCCTGAGCACCAAACCATCATCTCGCAAACCATCCACAACCTCATCACCTCAGGTGACCTCCCACCCACGGCCTCCAACCTCATCGTTGCCCAACCTCGCACTGCCCGCTTCTATCTCCTTCCCAAAATCCACAAACCTGAATGCCCTGGTCGACCCATTGATTCCGCCTGCTCCTGCCCCACCGAACTGATCTCCAACTATCTAGACTCCATTTTCTCCCCCTTGGTCCAGGAACTCCCTACCTATGTCCGTGACACCACCCACGCCCTCCACCTCCTCCAGAACTTCCAATTCCCCGGTCCCCAACACCTCATCTTTACCATGGACGTCCAGTCCCTCTACACCTGCATTCCCCATGCAGATGGCCTTAAGGCCCTCCGCTTCTTCCTGTCCCGCAGGCCCGACCAGTCCCCCTCCACTGACACCCTCATCCGCTTAGCCGAACTCGTCCTCACACTCAACAACTTCTCTTTCAATTCCTCCCACTTCCTACAGACAAAGGGGGTAGCCATGGGTACCCGCATGGGCCCAAGCTACGCCTGCCTCTTTGTAGGTTACGTGGAACAATCCCTCTTCCGTACCTACACCGGCCCTAAACCCCACCTCTTCCTCCGTTACATTGATGACTGTATCGGCGCCGCCTCGTGCTCCCACGAGGAGCTCGAACAGTTCATACACTTCACTAACACCTTCCACCCCAACCTTAAGTTTACCTGGACCATCTCTAACACCTCTCTCCCCTTCCTGGACCTCTCTGTCTCCATATCGGGCAACCACCTAGAAACCGATATTCATTTCAAGCCCACCGACTCCCACAGCTACCTAGAATACTCCTCCTCCCACCCACCTTCCTGCAAAAATGCTATCCCCTATTCCCAATTCCTTCGCCTCCGCCGCATCTGCTCCCAGGATGAGGCATTCCACTCCCGTACATCTCAGTTGTCCTCGTTTTTCAAGGACTGTAACTTCCCCTCCTCGGTGGTCAAGAACGCCCTCAACCGTGTCTCCCACATCTCCCGCACCTCATCCCTCACACCCCGTCCACGCAATAAAAACCAAAAAAGAATCCCCCTCGTCCTCACGTACCACCCCACCAACCTTCGGATCCAACGCATCATCCTCCGACACTTCCGCCATCTGCAATCCGACCCCACCACCAAAGACATCTTTCCCTCCCCACCCTTATCTGCTTTCCGGAGGGACAACTCTCTCCGTGACTCCCTTGTCCGCTCCACACTCCCCTCCAGCCCCACCACACCCGGCACTTTTCCCTGCAACCGCAGGAAGTGCTACACCTGCCCCCATACCTCCTCCCTCACCCCCATCCCAGGCCCCAAGAAGACTTTCCACATCAAGGAGATGTTCACCTGCACATCTGCCAATGTGGTATACTGCATCCGCTGTACCCGTTGTGGCCTCCTCTACATCGGGGAAACCAAGTGGAGGCTCGGGGACCGCTTTGCAGAACACCTATGCTCTGTTCGCAATAAACAACTGCACATCTCAGTCGCGCACCATTTCAACTCCCCCTCCCATTCCTCAGACGACATGTCCATCCTTGGCCTCCTGCAGTGCCACAACGATGCCACCCCAAGGTTGCAGGAACAGCAATTCATATTCCACTTGGGAACCCTGCAGCCCAATGGTATCAATGTGAATTTCACAAGCTTCAAAATCTCCCCTCCCCCTACCGCATCCCAAAACCAGTCCAGCTTGTCCCTGCCTCCCTAACCTGTTCTTCCTCCCACCTCAAGCCACACTCCTATCTCCTACCTACTAACCTCATCCCGCCCCCTTGACCTGTTCGTCCTCCCTGGACTGACCTATCCCTTCCCTAACTCCCCACCTACACTCATCTTTACTGGCTCCATCCCCGCCTCTTCGACCTGTCTGTTTCCTCTCCACCTATCCTCTCCTCTATCCATCTTCTATCCGTATCTGCCTCCCCCTCTCTCCCTATTTATTTCAGAACCCCCTTCCTCTCCCCCATTTCTGATCAAGGGTCTAGGCCCGAAACGTCAGCCTTTCTGCTCCTATGATGCTGCTTGGCCTGCTGTGTTCATCCAGCTCTGCACCTTGTTGTCTTGGGCTGTGCAGTTGGTCGAATAGTGTGACACCTAGCCAGTTCTGAAGGAAATTATTTGCATGTCAATGGGTTATCTACATGGTAAAATCACTGACCAGTGTTTCATCCACCTTGTATCTCTATTACTTAAAAGGTGAAGTACCATTTACAGAAATATAGTCACCCTCACATAAGTATTGCCCTCTAACTGGAAGCAATAATAAGGTCATTAATAATGTTTCAACGGACCTCAGATACCTGTTCTGGAATTTACTTTGATGTTTCAATTGTAGCAGTTTGTTCTGCAACCTTCAAAAGTAAATGCCACTTGCTGGCAGCATGTGCAGAATATCATCAGTTGCACTGAAGAAACTAGTGGATTAGATGTTGAAGAGCTGGTATGATCTCTTCCCATCTGCTGTCCAGGAAATACACCACTAGGGTGGTATACATACAGTACTACCCAAAGGATGCACGGTTATATAATGAAGTGAATATTTTTCTTTTAGGTGGCCAAAGATGTCATCAAAGAATTTGCAGCTGATGGAGTAAAATACCTTGAACTGCGAAGTACACCACGAGCGGAAAGTACTACAGGTAGTATTACATGATTATATTAGCGGAGGTCTGATATTAGAATCTGTACTATACTTTAGTTGGAAATTAGCTTTTTGATGACATCACTGAATTAGTGCATATATAATGTCAGCATCTGAAATAAACGACTGTTCAAACTAGCACCAGTATAGAATGACAAATGATTGTTACAGCATTATGATGACAACATTATAATTTTAACTTTTTGCTTTTGTGGATGGGAGGTCCATCCTTGAAAACCTAGATTATTGCTTCCAGTGAAAACAAATGAAAAAAGACTGTAAATTTTTAAAACAAATTAATTAACAGGTGAAGGCATCGTTTATTGCCCATCATAATCTGAACCGTAAAAATACATGGATGATGTTGTCTGTTACTAAACTCATTAACAATGAAGGAAAAGTCAACAGTCATCGAGAAAGAAAATATAAGACTAACTTGCTTAAAAATGTGGAAAACAGCATCTTTAAGGGGCTAGTGATCCTTGCCAATGTCAAAAAGACCATTGTATTTACGTACACTATACCCCCAAATTGCAAATCAGGTTACAATTGATCAAGACATCAGTTCATGATAAGTATTCCAAGAAATGGGTGTTTTCAGATTAATAAAACCTGTCAAAATGTAAGGCGTTACAAGTAGAAATTGAAACTTGACTTATTTACCCATCTGAGTTTACTTGTTTATAAGCTTGAACAAATTACTGGCTTACAAGCATATCATTGTTGATTAATTTTGTAGAACTAGGTTGACTAGTTAACAATCACAGCATTTTATCTCTTTTATACAGGAATGACCAAGAGGTCCTATGTCCAGGCAATACTTGAAGCTATAAAACAATGTAAACAAGAGTGTGTGGACATCAATGTAAAGTATGTGAACTTTTTACTATTATCTGCTGACCTCCCTATTCTGGGATTTCAGTGTAATGGTTATTGCAATGTATTCTAAATCATAATGGTTAGCTGCTCAAACGGAGATGTGTTTAAATTAGTTAAACTTTCAGACTGGATACTTGACTGATGGCCTTTAGGGAACAAATAGGTACATCTTGAGGATTGAGCTATATCATTTGTGTGAAGTATCTTTATCACAGAATTGTTACAGTATGGTAGGAGGCCTATAAGCTGGTCATGTCTCCTGGCCTTCCAATGGAGCAACTCACAACATAAATTCTCCTGTCTTTTCTCCATCGTCTTGCAATTTTTTTCTTTTCAGATAATGATCCAATTCCCTTTTGATAGCCTCAGCTGACCCTGTACACTCTGAAAATGCATTCCAGATCCTCATCACTCCCTGCAAAACAAAACCTTTTCCTTTCACCTTGTCATTGGTTCCTTTGCCGTTTATTTTCAATCTGTGCCCTCCGGTTCTCAATCCTTCTGCCAGTGGGAACGGGGCATCCAATTTACTCTGCCCAGACTGTCATAATTTTCAAAATGTCTACCAAATCTACTCTCTTGTAAACAGAACAGTTCTAATCTCTCCAATATTTTTATATACCTAGAACCATGGACCTATTTTCAGCCTCTCTGAGGTCTTCATATGTGGTGTCCAAAACTAGAATCCATTCGAGATGGAACCAGTGCTTGATAGAGGTTTACCATAACTACCTCACTTTAGGAGTCTTCCCTGTTGTTCAAGCCCAGGTTGTGAAATGCTTTGTTAATCACACTCTCAATCTGCTTTGTCACATTCAATGATTTAAAAACATATATGGCCTAGGTCGCTCTGCTATTTCAGCCACTACCTAATTGCATCCTTCATTTTACGTTTCCTCCCATTTTCTTCCTCCCAAAATGGGAGGAATTCTGTATTTGTCTACATTAAATTTCATCCATCACTCATCTACCCATCCAGCAATCTATGTCCTTTTGAAGTTCTACACTATTCTCCATAGTTCACAAAACACTCAAGTTTCATATGTTCTGAAATTGTGCCCAATATACATTGATCCCTGAGAAACTCCACTTTGAACCAACCAAAAACATCCATGGCCATTACTCTAACTTTGCTCATTAGTCTGTTCTGTATCATTTTATCAAATGGCTTTTTCTTTTTATGTGGCATCAGCAACATTAGCATCAATCCTCTATGTTAACTCATTAATAAACTCAAGCAAGTTGCTTAAACACAATTTGCCTACAACATATCCATGTTGCCTTTGCTTAATTAATACATAACAGCCTCAGTAATAGTAATAGTATTAATAGTGTGCTAAATTAATGTTTCTAGAAGCATATCCACCACCAAGGTTAAATTGACAGTTGCTAAGGTTATCTTTACTGCCTTTATTGAATATGGGTGTAACATTTACAATTCTCCAGTCCTCTGGCATCACCTCGGAGTCTAAGGAAGATTAGAAAATTATGGCCAGGGCCTAAAGAATTTCCATTCTTATTTCCTTCAGAATCTTTGGCTGGCTCTCAGGTGATCATGTTGCTTTTGCAGATTTAATTATAGACAGCTTTCCATTACTCTTCTCACCAATTTAAAATGTCTGAACAACCTCCTCTTTAATAAAGATGTGGAAGCACCTTCCTTCTTGGTAAAGACAGGTGAAAAATATTTATTTAGTACCTCAGGTATGGTCCTGCCACTATGCAAAATTGTCTTTTTGGTCACTAACCAGCCCCATTCCTTCTCTTGCCACCCACTTAATATTTTTATGCCAGTTGATGACATTTTGCTTTCTGTTTTACATTAGCTGTAAGTCTCTTCTCATACTCTCTCTTTCTTTACTTCTTTTATTTGCTTTTTCTATTCCTCTCTGAGCTTTCTAAGACCATAAGAAATAGGAACAGCAGTGGGCAATCAGACCATCAAGTCTGTTCTGCCATTCAAGAGGATTATAGCTGATCCAACATTCCTCAGGTCCACTTTGCAGCCCTTTCCCAATAATACTTGATTCCTATACTGATCATGAATTTATCTATCTCAGCCTCAATATACAAAAGGACTATGTCCCCACAACTCTTTGTGTCAGGATTTCCAAAAATGTTCAACCGTCGAGAAGAAATTCCTCCAATCTCAGAGTTAAACTGGCAGCCCTTTCAGAATATTTTTGAAGAAGAGTCCCGACCCGAAACGTCAACTTTCCTGCTCCTCTGATGCTGTCTGGCCTGCTGTGCTTCTCCAGCTCCACATGGTGTTGTCTCTCTGTAAACTGTTTGTATCCCTGTCACAACCTGCCTTTCCACCTATTTTGGTTTTGTCTGAAAATATGGCTACAGTGCATTCACTTCCTTCATACAAGTCTTAATATATATTGTAAATAGTTAAGGCCTCAGCATTGATCCCTGTGAAACCCCACTGGTCACAGGTTGCTAACCTGAAAAAGTACCCGTTATCCCCACTCGTTGTTTCCTGCCCATTAGTCAATTCTCTATCAATGCCGATATACGACCTCCAACACAGAGGGGTTTTATCTAAACCTTTTGTGAGGTTTTCTGTATTTGTCCTCCCAATTGTATTATACACCTGACATTTTTTTGCTTCATCAGTCTCTTTTTTGATTGGGAACTACATGTGAACTATTCTACATTGTAATTATTGGTCTACTCAATTTTTGTAAACATTAGTTTGAAAGAAGATGATGTAGAAGATGAGACAGAATTTATTCAAAGTGTTCAATATCATGAGCTAATTAGACAGTAGTTTGAGAGAAACTATTGCCATCAGCAAGGGATGAGTCACTTTCACCACCATCCCCCACACATGGCAATCAGCCGGTCGTCTCGCACCACTGCCCCACCCACATAGTTCTTAGCTATTTCCACCACACACCATCTAATTAGTCACCCGTTCCCAACACATACACACAACAAATAGCTCCTCTTGCACTGCCCCCTTATAGATAAACAATAAATGATCCTATTACCACTACCCCAACCCTCTCTGTTGCTGTCCCATCTTTTAGTCTAGTTGTAGATGCTTGCAAAGACAAGTTGACAACTGGAAATAAGAAGCCTGTACAGCAGGCAGACAAGAGCAGCCATGTGACTTTCCAGTTTTTTTCACACCCTGTGTCAATGAGAGTTACCCTTGCCTGCCTCTACACATAATGTTAGCACATAAACACCAAGGGTCAAATAGCACTGACTACTGGAAGTGCTTCCTAAGGTTAAAGGATGCTTTGGGTTCACAGTCTGCCAACACCACAGTCACCATTGCTGCCTTGGAGGAAAGGGAGCACACAACATCAGATACTGTTTTCACAAAGCTTTTGGGGGTCCCAACACAAATTGGGAACTGTTGCCCTAAGCTTTGAAATTCCCTTCCTTTATTTCTCTGTCTTGCTTTCCTCCTTCAAGACACGCCTTAAAGTCTTGTTAACCAAGCTTTTGGTCACCTGGCTTAATTCTCCTTTAGTGTTTCAGTGAGTGCATTGCTTATAATCTTCTAAAATTGCCTAGATTCTGGTGATGTGCTAATGATTTCGAAAACTGCAAATGTAACATCTCTGTTCAGGCAGGAGACCAAAGGAGGGAACTGTAGGGCAATTAGTGCAACATCCTGATATTGGGAAATTGCTAGAATCCATTGTTAAGGAAGTAGTACACTTAAAAATTCATAACATAATCAGGCAGAAGCAATATGATTTTAGAAAGAGAAATGGTATTTTGGCAAACTTACTCAAGTTCTTTGAGGATGCAACAAGTGGAGTGGGTAAAGGGGATGCAGTAGATGTAATATATTTGGTTTTCCAAAAGGCATTTGATAAAGTGCCACATAAAAAGTTACTGCACAAGAGCTCATAGTTTTGGGATGATTAATTGGCACAGGTAGAGGAAAGGCTAACCAAAAGGAAAGAGCCAGAATAGGTGGATTATTTTTTCAGGTTGGCAAACTGTAACAAATGGAATGCCATAGGGACAAATAATTTGAACTCTTCATGTTGTTTTATTCACTACGCCTGAAATGCAGTTCTTCAACTGTAATGTAGTCAAATTTGTAGATGATACAAAGGTACAGTGGAAAATAAATTGTGAGGAGGATACAATGAATCTGCAAAGGAATACAGATAGGTTAAGTGAGCTGGCAGATGTTTGGCAGATGGAATATAATATTAAAAAATGTGATGTTGTCTACTTTCCCAAGACCATAAAAGGATGTGTTATTTAATTTGAGGGACTACAAACAGTATTGAGGAATCTAGCTGTCTTTGTACACAAATCACAAAAAAAGTTAACATGCAGGTACAGCAAGTAATTATGAAATTTTGGCCTTTACTGTAAAGGGACTGGAGTACAAAAGTAAGGAAGTCTTGGTACAATTGCAGAGAGCATTGATAAGACCTCACCCAGAACTGTGTACCTATTTAGTCCCCTTAAGGAAGGATACACTATCCAGGGGAAGTATTTGTCTTATGAGAAATAACTTTTTTTAAAAAATTCATTTATGATATATGGGCTTCGCTGGTTAGGCAAGCACTAAATACCCATCCCTTAATTGCCTAAGGGCAATTCAAATACATTGCTGTGGGCTGGAGTCACACATAGGCCAGACCTGGTAAGGATTGTAAATTTAGTTCCCTAATGGAGTTTAGTGAACCGGACGGCTTTTTACAACAATCAACAAAGGTTACGTGGTCACCATTAGATTGGCTTTTTTACTGAATTCAAATTTCATCATCTCCCATGGTGGGTTTTGAACACAGGTCCTCAGAACATTAGCCAGGGTTCTGGATTACTAGTCTGGTTATTACTACACGATTGCCTCCCCCCATTAAGCAAGTTGGGCTTGGACTCAGAAGAACGAGAGGTGAACTTATCAAATCATATCAACTGTGATCTTAATGAACAGCAGAGCAGGCTTAATGGACTGAATAGCCTACTATTGCTACTATATTTTATCATCTTAGTTGTGTATTTTTTTACATGATGCTTCTGTGCAGTATATTGGAGCATTTTATTATGTTAGAGGCATTATACAAATTGCTACTAACTATTCAGCATAAAAGGTGGAAAAAATAAATAGCAACATTAAATTTTATTTCCCTAGATTTCTACTATCCATTGATAGAAGAGGTGGACCAGTTGTTGCAATGGAAACTGTAAAACTTGCAGAAGAATTCTTTGCATCTACTGATGGACTGGTAGTTGGTGTGGATCTAAGTGGAGATCCAGCAGTGAGTAATTTATTTCTCATGAGCTGTGTCAACCCTAATTCAGAACTGCAGGATACAATATCTTCTCAATAACTTATTGGGTCTTTCTTCATTTACTTATAGAGACTTACAGACAGACAACCGGTGTCATTATCTGATCATGATCAAGTGTCTGTATGTGTGTGTATACGCATGACAGAGTTTAGTAATGCAATACCTTATGCTGTGGAGTGAGCCATAACCAGCTGCAGACAGTGAGTGTTCCTTTGGACTGACTGTAGAGTGTGAGATAGGGTGTTTCAGTTGACAGGTATTGGAGTGAGCTATAACCAGTTACATACAGTGAGAGTGTTTCAGTGCACAAATTGTCGAGTAAGCCATAACCAGTCACAGATGGTAAGAGCGCGTGGTTCAAATAACTGACTGTGCAAAGAACTATGAACCAGTTACACAGAATGAGCGAGAGGGTTCCTGTTAACTGAAAGACAGAGCTTTAAACAGTCACAAAGCCTGAGAGAGTGTGTTCCAAAGTACTGCCCATGGAAGGATATTATGCTGTTATATATGCTCTTATATTCAGTTATTTAAAGTACATACAATCAGTAAGTGATCGGAGTAACTTCTGTACAGACGATTGTACATAATTACATTCATTAAGATAAGTTTTTAAGATCCGTACAAACTGTAAAGCAGCATGACAGTCATTTTCGAAATTAATAAAAATGATTAGTAATCAATTTTTAGAGAGGCATAACATCAGGTTGAAGTTATACCTGGTACAAACGAAGAATGTTGTCATTGTTGGAGGTCAGTTATCCCAGCTCCAGGACATCTCTTAGAAGAGTTCCTCAGGGCTTTAGGCGCAATTATCTTTAGCTGCTTTGTCAGTGATCCTTCCTCCATCATAAGATCAGAAATGGGGATATTTGCTGATGGCTGAATAATGTTCTGTGCCATTCGCAACTCCTCAGATACTGTCAAATGTCCAAATGCAACATCATTTGAACAGTATCCAGGCTTGAGCTGAAAAGTGCAAACGATGTTTGCACCACACAAGTGCCAGGTAATGAATATCTACAACAAGAGAGAATCTAACCATTATCTCTTGACACTCATGGCATTAACATCACAGAACCTTCCAATAGCAATATCCTGGGGGTTACCACTGACCAGAAACTAAAATGTACTAGCTAAATAAATATTGTGGCTATGAAAGTAGGTCAGAGGCTAGGAATTCTGCAGCAGTAGATCTCATCCTGACTCTTCAAAACTTGTCCACTAGCTTCAAGACCGTAGTGAGAATTGTGATGTATATTCCCTATTTGCCTGGATTGGCACAGCTCCTGCTACACTCAAGATGCTGGAGAACTCAAGATGCAGGACAAAGGAGCCTGCTCGCTTGGCACCACATCCACAAACTCACTCAATCCACCACTGATTCCCAGTAGCAGCAATGTATACCATCTATAAGATGCTCTGCAGATATTTACCAAGGCTCTTCAGACAATATCTTCCAAACCCACCACCACTACTATCTATCTGATACCTGTGCCTTTTTCTTTTACCCTTCCATATGAGACACCATCACCTGCAAGTTCCTCTCCAAGCCACTCACCATCCTGACTTGGAAATATAACACCATTCCTTCACTTGGTCAAAATCCTGGAGCTCCTTCCCTATTGGCGTTATAGCGGACTACAGCTGTTCTAGGTGACAACTCATCATGTCCTACTCAAGCACAGCTACAAATGGGTAATTAATGCTGACCTAGCCTGTGATGCCCACTTCCCACACATGAATTAACAAATAGATTCGTGGGTGCGTATGGGAAAATGACCATGCCTCTAATACATTTGCGGTTTTCTACAGTTTAAGAAATAAAAACAGAATATGCTGGAAAAACTCAGTAGGTCTGGCAGCATCTATGGAGAAACAAATTAATGTTTTGAATCCAGTTTGATTTTTCTTCAGAACTATGAAGATGATTTTTGGGGATTTGAAATGTTAATCATGTTTCTCATTCTATAGATGCTGCCAGACTGCTGAGTTTTTTTCCAGCACTTTGTTTTTATTTCAGTTTCCCAGCATCTGCAGTATTTTGCTCTTATTAGGCAAATACAGGAGACTTGGAGACTTGTTAGAGTAATGCACTGGTTTGACTGGAAGAGTATAGGATTGTCAACAGTTTTTTGTTTTCCTTTTCAAGGTAGAACATGCCAAGAGTTATATTGCTCCACTTCAAGCGGCTCGAAATGTAGGACTTAAGCTTGCTGTACACATGGCTGAGGTAAAACCTTTGGAAATGTTTGTAAAACCTGAAGCAATACTTATTTTTGATATATTCTAAAATAGAACATACATTATTCTTATTCAAATATCAATCTAGGACAATTCATTTTATAGTTGAGTTAATATTGTATGACCAAGTATTTTATATAGGAATAGGAATTTTTCTTATGGTTACATTTAACAGTACTGTATCACTTAAGTATTGCAAATTATTTTTTATCGTTTTTGTCAAGATTCCCCATCAAAATGAAGAAGTGGAATTATTTCTTGGTCTTCCTCCAGACAGAATTGGCCATGGTACATTCCTTCACCCTGAAGTTGGAGGTTCAGAATATCTGGTTGACATCATTATCAAAAATCAAATACCTATTGGTAATGATATTTATCTTCTATTCAGATAAGAAAATATTTAAGTGTATAGTTGTTCTGTTTGATATGGCTTATTAAGGAAAAGAATTATAAAATTATTTTCTCAGAAACCCTGGAGCTTAATACACTGTAATCGCGCTAGGATGCATGGAACCAAGTTATTCCTGGATTCAGAAATATTTTGGACTGTGGAATGAGATTAAAATATCTAGCCATGATTTCATTAACTGGAAAAAAAGACTGTGGATATAAATATTTACCTAAGACATAAAACTGTAATAATTGTCTGCAAACAATAAGGAATTTAACCATTTCCCCTTGGGATTCTCCAGCATTACTATTTTTGAATGTCACACTATCAACATTCTGACAGATCTTATTTAACAGATAGAAAGTTTACCTGAACTAACCATGTCAATACTGTGGTTACAAAGGAAGGTCAACCACTTGGAATTCTGCAGGTAGAACTCTTGCCTCCCAAAAGCCTGTCCATCTACAGGGCCCACGTGAAGAACATGATGAATACTTCCTATTTGCTTGGATGAGTGCTACTCTAACACTATTAACACTATCCAGGACAAAGCAGTCCACTTGACTGGCATCCTATCCATCATTTTCAACATTTAGTCCCTATACCACTGAAACATGGTGGTGGCATTGTGTATCATCTAAGGATGTACTGCAGCAACTTACCAAGGCTACTCTAACAGGACCTTCCAAATTCATGATCTGTACACCTAGAGGAATAATAGCATCAGATCCGCGGGAACATCAACTACAAATTCTTCTCCAAGACACACCAAACTGACTTGGAAATGTATCGCTCTTCCTGGGTAACTAATCTTAAATGAATACTCAGAGCACAATTCGTTCATCTTCCAAATTCACAGTGAGAGTTAGGAATTGGCGATGCATTCTGTCCTTGTCAGCAATGCCCGTGTTTTATAAATAAATAAATAAAATGATGCAAGATGTCACTCTTGTGTTGCAGTGTGTCAAATTATTCCCGATATCATGAGATCTTCTGCGTCCACCGAATGTGGTAGTGGTGTTTTAGTATAATGTCTCATTTGAATAATGGTCCCCTCCAACAGTGTAGTATTCCCTTAAACTGCACAGAAGTGCCTATAAAAGATAAATAAAATTGGAGAAAAAGTCTTCCAGCCCTGTGAAAATCATCTAATAAATAAAATACTTTTCCTCAAAAATGTTAGCATTACTAGAATAAAAGAAGAAAAAATTGGGAATTGTTTTAAGCAATTTCACTCATCTGTTTTCCAGAGCTTTGTTTGACATCAAATCTCAAAGGTCAAACTGTATCTTCATATGACCAACACCATTTCAAATACTGGTACAATCGTGGACACTCCTGTGTAATTTGTGTAAGTTCAATTACTTTCTGCTACTAAATAATGTTGCAAGTACTGTAATGTAAAAACACAGACATTCACCATTTGTAGAGGACTTGGTAGGTTAGAATGTTGTCAGTGGAATTAAGTTCTTTTGTACTGATCCACACAGTAATCTCAGAACAGTTTCAGTTCAGTTCCTAGTTATAAAAGCTCTCAACACAAGACAACTGATAATTTTGGATTAATAGATCTGGCACTATACTTGCTGGTTCCTATTATTCAATCCTCACCCACGTGGCCTGATCAAGTTCAGAAACATATTGGTTATAAATATCACACAAGGGAATACACAAAGCTACAGTGAAGTATCCTAACCTTGTTGCATGGGTTTCAGCTTGCTTGAGTTGGTCATGCTTACTGCTGGGTCAGAGATCCGTTCTGTAGAATTATAAAATAGCATAACGCAGGAGGAGCCTATTGGGTTCTCCGAGCCTTCCAACAGCCCCATCCTCTACACTTTGCCCATGGTGCTGTAAATTGCTCCTTCTCAAGTACTTACGCAGTTGGTTTTGGAATTTGTAATTTAATCTAATTTCACCACCCTTTAGACAGTGATAAGAGAACCCACTGCAATTATTTCTCCCTCATGTCACCTTTGAGACATTTCGTAATTAGCTTAAATCGGTGTCCTCTTATCTAGAGTACAGAGAAGTATGGATATTTTGACCTTTCCCGTCACTGGCAACACTTCCTTCTTATTTGCTAATGTTGAACACTTCTGTTAAATCTCCCTTAACGTTCTCTGTTCTAAACAGAACAACCCCAGCTTTTCCAATCTTACCATGTAACTGAAGTGTTTCATCCCTAGTACCATTCCAGTAAATCTCTTTTGCACACTGTGCAAAGCCTTGACATCTTTCCTAATGTGTAATGGCCGGTAAGATTGTAGACATACTCATCGAGCCAGTGGGTTTAGTTGCAAACGTTTTGTCACCTTGCTCGGTAACATCGTCAGTGTGCCTCTGGTGAAGCATCAGTGTTCTGTCCCACTTGTTATTTATGTGCCTTGGTTTGCTGGGGTTCTGTTTCTCAGTTGTTTGTATGCAGAGTCTAATTCAATATGTTTGTTGATGGAGTTCTGGTTGGAATACCAGGCCTCCAGGAATTCCCTAGCCTGTCTCTGTTTGGCCTGTGCAAATTTTGATGTGTTGTCCTAGTCGACTTTATGCACGGACAATGAGGGACACAGTGAGATAAATGAGAGTTGGTTGTGTGTCTTGGTGGCTAGTTGGTATTCGTGTATCCGTATTGTCAATTTTCTTCCAGTTTGGCCTATGTAGTGTTTCTCACAATCCTTGCATGGTATTTTGTATGTTACCCCAGTTTTGCCAGTGTAAGTAGCGCTGCTATGTCGAAGGATATCATCTTCTTGTCCACATCCATAAACATCGACCGAGCCAAAGAAACAATTGTCACACTGCTAGACGAATCAAGTAAACAGACAACTCGGGACACCAACAACATCAATAAGGACACCACCATGAAACTACTAGATTTGTGCCTCACAACCCACTTCACCTCAACGACAACGTATACAAACAAATCAACGGAACACCAATGGGATCCCCAATATCAGGATTGCTGGCAGAAGCAGTAATGCAAAGGTTAGAACGGACAGTGCTCCCCACTATACAACCCAAACTTTGGGTCCGATATGTAGACACCTTTGTGAATATTAAATGCTCTAAACTGGAAGATACCCACTAACACATAAACAACATCCAAAATTCACAAATGAAGAAGAGAACAACAACCGACTACCCTTCCTGGACATAATGGTAGAATGCAAAAACAACAGCGAAATCCAGACTAGCATATATAGAAAGACCACATATACAGACCAAATCCTCAATTACACCAGAAACCACCCTAATGCCCACAAATGGAGCTGCATCAGGATATTTAAACGAGCCACAACATGTTGCAGCAACCTGGAACTACGCAAAGCAGAACAGGAACACTTATCCGGAATCTTCAAAAGAACTGGATACCTGAAAAGCACAATCCACCATTACCCCCGAGACATATCAAAACAGAAAGACAAAATATGGCCAGAATCACTTATCACCCTACCATACATCAAGGACATTTTAGAGATGACCACAAGACCCTTAGGTATCGGAGTACCCCACAAACCAACAGCCACCCTACGACAGCTACTGACGAACGTAAAGGATCCCACACCCAAAACCGGCAAAACTGGGGTAATATACAAAATACCATGCAAGGACTGTGAGAAATACTACATAGGCCAAACCGAAAGAAAACTGACAATACGGATACACGAATACCAACTAGCCACCAAGACACACAACCAATTCTCACTTGTCTCACTACATACAGACAACGAGGGACATGAATTCCACTGGGACAACACATCCATAGTCATTCAAGCCAAACAGAGACATGCCAGGGAATACCTGGAGGCCTGGTATTCCAATCAGAACTCCATCAACAAACACATTGAATTAGACCTTATGTACAAACCACTGAGAAACAGAACCAGAAGTAATACCAAACACCCCAGCAAACAGAGGCATACAAATAACAAGCGGGACAAAACACCAAAACTTCACCAGAGGCACACTGACAATGTTACCTAGCAAGCTGACAAAACTTTTGCAACCAAACCCACCAGCTCGACGCGCATGTCTACAACCTCATCCACAACGTGAGCTACAAATCTTTTCGAAAACTTTGAAGTAGTGGCCAGTTTTGGCCGCAGTACTCCAGCTGAGGCCTCGAAATTGTTCTAGAAATTCTTTTTTGTTCATTCACGGGATGAGGGTGTCACTGGCTAGGCAGCATTTATTGCCAATCCCTAATTGCCCAGAGGACAGTTAAGAGTCAACCACATTGCTGTGGGTCTGCAGTCACATGTAGGCCAGACCAGGTAAGGATGGCGGTTTCCTTCCCTAAAGGACATTAGTGAACCGGATGGGTTTTTCCAAAAATCCACAATGGATTCACGGTCGTAATGAGACTCTTAATTCCAGATATTTATTGAATTCAAATTCCACCATCTGCTATGGTGGGATTTGAACACAGGTTCCCAGAACATTATCTGGGTCTCTGCTTAAGCAGTACAGCGATAATACACTAAGCATTGCCTCCCCACATGGGATATGGGTGTCACTGGCAAGGCCAACCTTGATGTACATCTTTAAAATTGCCCTTGAACTGAGTGGTTTGCAAGGACATTTCAAAGGGCAGTTAAGAGTCAACCCCATACTGCTGTGGATGCAGAGTCACATATAGGCCAGATATGGTAAGGACGCTAAAGAACATTTGTGAATCAGATGGGTTTTTATTACAATCAACAATTGTCATGAATTCAAATTCTACAGGCTGCTGAGATGGGATTATGAACACTGTCCCCAAGAGCATCAGCTTGGCCTCTGGATTACTAGCCTAGTGCCATTACCACTATGGTACTGTCTTCTCAGTCAGGCTCTTCCAGTTGGATTCCTAACTCTAGTCAAACTGTATTATGTTCATCACATGATCTCTCACTGCTAACCATTCATGCTCAGAGGTAATTTGATGAGAAACCTCTCATGATAATCAGTTGATAACAGTGATCAAAATATTCAAACTTATCCGAACTCTAGGAACTGCTCAGTTCAACGAATGGCTTTGCCAATTAGTACATGCATTAACCAGGACTGTTACATATCCCACCGATAATTCACCCTACTATTTTTGTATGGCTAGCCAGGACAAACAAGAGACGTAATCTCAGAACAATCACAGCTAAGTACATTTGAAATACAGCCATTACTTGAAACATTGGAAACTTTAGATAAATTCCAAATATCAGCCAGGACAATGGGTGCACTTCCTTAATTGATAGTGTGAAAATATTTTAGCTGGAATCCTTTGCATGTAAATATATTTTGGTGATGTGATGGCATATAACTGCTGTTTCAGATTTGAACTGAGGAGTATTCTGATAATATAAAACTGGTAGGCTGATAAAAATTCGGATTCATATTTAAAAGTTTGCTTTAATGCAGTTATCTACATACATACTAGGGATTATGTGAATGTAATATTAAATGGAAAAAAGTGCCTGTCATCAATTTAATATCAATATTACTGCCAATGTTCCTTCAATTGCTTCTTATACATCAGCCCTCCATATCTATTAAATATTTATTTGCAATTTATCTCATCATTATAATCAGTGCAGTTTATACTGTTGCTGATTAAAACAGAAACTAAAAGGAAACAAATGGACTTATACAAACTAATAACGAAATTAGGCTTTTTAAGTTGATAAGACAGGCAAAATCAGTGATGTGTATTTTTGTGTATTTCTAAACCTAATTTATTGCTGATCTTTTTCTATTCCCCCAGACTGATGGCAAAGGTGTTTTTGCTAGCAACCTCTCACAGGAGTATCAGATAGCAGAAACAACATTCAATCTTTCTAAAGCTCAGATATGGGACCTCTCTTATCAGAGTATTAACCACATCTTCGCTCCAGTGAGTGTAAAATCTGATTTGAAAAGACGATGGAATGATCTGAAACCAGGACTATTTAACCAATATGAACCGTAGATTGCATGACATGGAGAGTGCTCTTGGCCTCATTTTCCTATAGCACATGAATACTCTTGAAATCTATTTGATTATTTCAAATGACAGGCTAATGAAGGCAAATCAACAGTTCTACAAAAAAGTGATCCTCCAACTTGAGCTGTTGTTCTAATTGTCTTCCACATCATTGACATTGTTTTGGTTGATACAATAGGTCCCTCAAAATCAGAAATATATAGAGAATGTGTTTCTTCTTGTCACCTACAGTAGTTTTACAATGCACGACAATGAAAAGTGAATTTATTTTGCGTAATGTATTTGCATTGCTTGTAATTCAATGGTTTGGAAAATTTTCTTCTCACGTACAAAAATGCAGCAATCTGACCTGATTATTTTCAAACAAGACTACTAGTCTCTCTCTGTGCGTTCTCCATTGTGGGGGATGGCTGACAATGCACTTTACACTTTTCAGTTTGAGGAATTACAGTTTCCTTTGCGAACACAAGAATATTGTTTTAAGAGGAGCTTTATTGACTCAGGACATTATTGATGGAGCTGCATTCACCCAAATCCGCAGACCAAACCAAGTTCCTCAAAGGTAATGTGTTTTTATACTCTGAAAAATCCTTTAAAATAGGTCTTGTTTTATTGATCAAGCTGAGAGTCAAGGAGACAAAGTACTTCAGTAGCTAATAAGCAAAAAGATATGATGACAATCACCTCTCTGTATTTTGCCATTTCAAACTTGCAATTAATATCTTATTCAAATGCCCATTGATTCAATTAAACTGTTTTAGATCAAGGCAAAACAATCTTTTTGATTGAACCAGTGATTTTTGTTTTTACAAAACTGAGTGAATGTAGTCAAAATATTCATGTTAAGATTATGAAAAGATTGCTCTAGCCCTTTTATCTCTAAACAAATAAATGATTTGTATAATCTATTTTAAGTATAATGTTTACAATTTAAATAAAATATCATGAACAATATTTATTTTCATATGCATTTTTACTATCAAAACATCAGCTGTAGTACCACCAAGGGAATCAATGGTGATTTTTATACTGGTGAATAAGGCTTGCCAGTACAGATAGGAATGGCCTAATTAGACACTAATATGACATGTGTTTAAACTATCATTCTAAAACAAGGTTATAGAGGCATACAGCACAGAAACAGACCCTTCGGTCCAACCAGTCCAAGCTGACACAATCTGAAACTAAACTTGTCCCACTTGCCTGCGCTTGGCCCAAATCCCTCCAAACATTGCTTATTCATGTACTTATCCAAATGCCTTTAAACATTGTAACTGTACCTGCGTTGTCGTTTTGGCCCTAAACTCTAGGATTTCCACCCAGCATCTCTCTGCCTCACTTGCCTCCTTTAAGACACTTCCTATAACCTAATTCTTTGACCAGACTTTGTCCTAATATCCTCCTAGTGGCTGGGTGTTACACTTTAATACTAATGTCCTGTGACACAAGTTGGAAGGCTTCATTATGTTAATGGTGCTATATGAATATAAACTATTATTGTTGTCAACAAAATATCAGGAAACTTAATTTTAATTTGTTTTTATTAAATTTTACTTTAATTTTCTCAGCAACTACCCACACCTCCCAGCAATATCAACACTGGGAACAAACTTGGGTTTTACCCAGCTATTGCCATTCTCTAAAATCATCATCACCACTGACCTATTAGTATGACAAACTCAATTAATGAGGAACTACATTCTGATAAACATTATGGAACAACATGTATTTAAACAAAATGCCAGTGTTCTCATTATGAAATGATTATTCACATACAGGAAACATTGCAGCCCCCAATTTGCTCACAGCAAGCTCCTTAAACAGAGATGTGATAATGACAGGGTCATCTATAATTTTGTAATATTGATTGAGATATTAAAATTAACCAGTATGCCCAGGATAACTCCCCCACTCTTCTTCAGAATAATGCCATGGGATCTTTAACGTCCACTTGAGAGGGCACACAGGGTTTTCATTTAATTGAAAGATGCCAGCCCCAACAGTGCAACACACCCTCAGCCCTGAAGCATCAGCCTAGATTTTTGTACTGAAGTCTCACAGCGTTGGACTGCTTGCCATTTTAATTCTTCACCATGCTCTCACATGTCTGTCCACAGTCTGCTATGGTGTTCCAGTAATGCTCAATGCAAGCTTGGGGAGCAATCCGTCATCTTCCAATGAGGGCATTTTACAGCCTTCTGGTCTCAACACTGAGTTCAACAACTTCAAATATGAGCTCTGTCCCCCATTTTGATTCTGGTTCTTTTGCCATGTGAATCTTGTTTTACATGTTTTTGCTTTTGGACTGTTAATTATTCTGTCATTTACACTCTCTCTGGACAAATGCTTTGTTTTTCCACTGCAATCATTACCACTCCCTTTGCCTTTTCATCCATGACCTTTGACATTTAATTGTTCCAGACCACTATCCTATCCCTAATCTTCTCTTTTCTTCCTTCTCCTCTTTCAACGTCATAAAACCCATCCACATTTCTACCTCCCTACAGCTCCGAAGAAGAGTCAGAATAGACTGAAATATGTACTCTGTTTCTCTCTCCAGAGATGCTGCCAGATCTCATAGATTTCTCCGGCATTTTCAAGTTATATTTCAGCATCTTGCATTTCCCTCTGTGGAGCTCCCTTTCCCAAGGAATATAAGCTTTGGAAAGTACCATCAAACATGAAGCAGGCTAACGTACAACACCCACAGTTAACACAGTGGTACACAAGATCACCTAAACCACAATTGGATTTTTAAAAATTATGTTCTAAGTAAAAAGGTGCATTCAATATGACAATGAAAGGTTAAAAATTTCAGCTTGAATTTTGGAAGAGGAGTCATACTGGATTCAAAACATGAACTCTATTTCTCTCACTTGCAGAGTTTCTCCAGTATTTTGTATTTTTATTTCAAACCTCCAGCATCAGCAGTATTTTTGCTTTTATTTAAGATATTCAGTCTCAGATTCACATTATCCATAGTGGTTGGTGACAAAGTCACTGGGATAACACAGCATTAGTTCAGATAGCATTAAACAACAATTTAATTTCTATAGTGCCTTTGATGCAGTAAAACATCCCATTGTGCTTCACAGGAGCAGTGACAAACAAGTTTTGACACCATGCCACTTAAAGGGCCCTGTGGGGTACTAACATATATCAAGTGCCGTGGTTCAAAAAGACAATGCACAGATTGTTTAATCGGAGCTAAAGTTGAGAGAGGATGATGGACAGACTTCTGCCATATTTGGAAGACCCTGGTTACAAAGACTGTTAAAAATCTTATCAAGCATTTGATACATATTTAAGTGACAAGCAGTTGGCTGTAGATAGACAATGGGCTAATATGACTTCTTAAGTAATTAAAAAAAAATCACTGATTTTTAACTAGTTACTTAGTACTTACCCAAATCCTTCATTAGAATGGCTTTATAGTATTTTTTCTGCAGTACAGACATTCCATGATACAGAACAATATCCATCCTCTTAGGTAACTCAGCAGCAACATCAGCTTTAATTCTTCTCAGGAGGAATGGATGCATAAGTCTGTGCAACTCTTTAGCTGGGGAAAGACAGAAGGATACAATCAACAAAATAAACATGGTTGTTCTGAAGATAGTAGTGAATAATCTTCAGCACTGTGGTTTGTGATTTAACTCAAATATTATACCTGATCTTACAATGATGTTGCAGCCAACAGCGCACTTTACACTTTTCGTCTTGAGTAGTTACAGTTCCCTTAGTAAACAACAGATATTGGTTTTAGAGGAGCTTTATTAACTCAAGACATTACTGATGCTGCTGTGTTCACCCAAATGCTTCATTACCAGACCAAACTAAATGTATTTAAGCACATAATTAAGTTTTCTCCTACAAAGGTACACAAATATTAATGGAGAGGTTGTGGGGAGAAGTTTGTGTCAAACTGCAGGGGTTTTTAGAAATAAAAGTAAAAATTCTGAACACAGAACCAGGACAGGAGGCAGTAAGTTTAAAAAGAGTGCAGAGAGTAGGGAGTTGCTTCATTCTGAACATAGCACCAAAAGAGGGGCAAAATTGAAAGACCACAAAGAGTAAGGAGTGGCATTATTCTGAATGCAAGGCTGAGCTACATTGTGTGGGGGGAAAAAAAAATCTAACAGCGACTTTACAGGAAATCTGCAAGTTTATTGGTATTGAGAAGCTGCTGTTAACAGTGAGTCTGATGGCTTAAAACGAAAAAGAATCATTTATAAAGGAGGAGCAGTTATTTGAATTTAAAGAAGGAACACTAGCAAATGGTAGAGAAAAATAAATCAAGTAAAATAAAATAATAAAGTAAAACTGAAAGAAAATAAATTAACGTAAGTGAAGCTACTAGTAAGTTTTTACATGAAGTTTATATTTATTCCGAGAAACAAAAAATGTTCAGAGTTACAGGATGACAAGTCAGGGACAAGTGAAGTGTATGTTCTGTGGTATGTGTAAAGTCATGAACATAATCATGTTCCTCAGCCAAACACATCTGCAGGAAGTGTCACTGGGTATAGAAGAGTGCTGCGTTCTGGAACTTGAACAGCAGCAGGAGCACTGTGCATCCACAAAGCAGCGACCACATGGATAGCACCATAGGGAGGGGTCAGACCACATATTAGAAGCATACAGGTAGAGAAGAAATAAGTGACTTCAAGACAGCAAAACAAAACCAGGCAGGTAATGCAGGAGTCCCTCGAGTTTATTGTGCTTGCCATCAGTATTCCATTTTGGAAAATAGTGAAAGCATAGCCACGTGGCGTCCAGGACTGGGAACTGAATATTCAAGGATATTCAATATTCAGGAAGGACAGACAAGGAAAAGGAGGCGGGGTTGCACTGATAATATGAGGTTGGATTAGTATATTGGTCAGGGAAAATCTTGTATAGAAGAAAAATGTATGGAATCTGCTAGGTGGAACTAAGAAACAACAAGAGGCAGCAGACTTTGGTTAGAACAAAAACTGAAATTGCTGGAAAAGCTCAGCAGGTCTGGCAGCATCTGTGAAGGAAAAAACAGAGTTAACGTTTTGGGTCTGGTGACCCTTCCTCAGAACTCAGAACTTTGGTTAGAATTATTTATAGACCAATAAATAATAAGTGGTAATGCACAGTATGATGTAGATCAGGAGAGAAGTTTGCGCCATGTGCAATACTATAATCATGAGTGACTTCAATCTACATGTAGACTAGGTAAACAAATTGAGCATTAAAACTGTGGGGTCAGATTTCTGGAGTATATTAGAAATGGCTTTGTGCAGCAGCGTACTGAAAAGTCAAGTAGAGGCTACTTTGGATCTGGCATTATGTAATGAAAAAGGGCTAATTGTTAAAATTCTTGAAAAAAAAACTATTAGGGATGAGTGCCCAAAATATGATAGAATTTGACATTATGTTTGAAAGAGAAGTAATTCAATTTGAAGCAAGTTAAGTTTTAATAAAGGAAATTACGAAAGTATGAGGCTTAAGTTGTCTGAACTAAATTAGAAAAATATATTACAACTGGTGACTGTAAATAGGCAATGGATAGTCTTTAAAGAACTATTAATATGGTTTACAGCAACAATATGTTCCTTTAAGGTGCAAAAACAAAACAGTTAGGTCATCCGTGGCTTATAAAGGAAGTTAAGGATTGTCTAAGACTAAAAGAAAAGGTTTATAAAATGGCCAGAAAGAATAATAAATCTGAGGTTTATGAAGTTTTTAGAATACAGCAAAGGAAGACGAAGAAACTGAAATGGAGAGAATAAAAGACAAGTTTAATTTAGCAAAAAAAACATAAAATTTCCCTGTAAACATTTCTACAGGTGTGTCCAAAAGGAAATGTTTGGATAAGACAAAAGTAGGTCCTTTAAAAGCAAAGTCAGGGGAATTTATAATGATAATAGAGGAGTAGAAGAGAAGCTAGATTATTACTTTTTGTCTGTTTTTACTGAGGAAGATACGTGAAATCCCCCCAAATTAGAGATCCAAGTGACTAGAGAGAATGAGGAGTTGAAGGAAATTAGCATTAGTAAGGGGGTTGTACTAGAGACCGATTGGCCTCCTCTTGCTCTTATCTTCTATGTTTCTATGTTTAGCCTTACATCAGCAGTAGGGAAAATACCAGAATGTATCTTAAAGGATGAAATAAATGAATATGGTAAAAAATGATCTGATTAGCCTTAGTCATGTTTGACAAACTTGTTTGACATTTTTGGAGGATGTTACTGAAATCAATGGATGGCGAATATTTGGCTTTTTGGAAGGCATCTGAAGTTCTCAACAGGACCAAAATAAAAACACGTGGTAGGGGGGTAATGCACTGGCATGGATTAAGGATTGGCTAAATGACAGAAACAGAGAACAGGAATATCGATCATTCTCAAATTAACAGCCCATGACTAGTGGGAACCACAATGTTCACAATATATAGCAATGATTTGGACACAATATTCCAAAATCTGCAGAGCTAAGCAGGAATGCATATTGTAAGGAAGATGTGAAATGTTTTTGGGAGGAGTTGGACAGGATTAGTGATTGGGCAAGACATGGCAATGGAATATAATGTGGAAAAATGTGAGGTTATCCACTTTGATACGAAAAACGGGTGTGCAGAGTATTTCTTACATGAAGTGGAAGGTGTAGATATGCAAAGGGACTTGGGTGTAATTGTCAGTAATTCACTGAAGACTAACTTGCAGGAACAGCAAACAATTTAGGAAGGCTGATGGAATATTAGTCTTTACTGCAAGAGGATTTGAGTACCAAGTCTTGCTACAATTGTATTGGGGCTTGGTTGGACTGCCCCAGGAATACACAGTGTAGTTCTGGTCTCCTTACATCAGGAAAAACATTGTTACCATAAAGGGAGTGCAACAAAAGTTCACCAGAAAGAAAAATAGAAATTGCTGGAAAAACTCAGCAGGTCTGGCAGCATCTGTGAAGTGAAATCAGAGTTTTCATTTCAGGCCCTGTGACCCTTCTTCAGAACAGTTCACTAGCCTTGTTCCCAAGATAGCAGGACAGTCCTGTGAACAGAGATTGGGCAAACTAGGTCGCTATTCTTTAGAGTTTTGAAGAATGGGATGTAATCTCATTGAAACCTACAAAATATTTAAAAGAACAGAAATGGAAAGAGGAGGTATAACATTTCCCCTGATTGTGGAGTCTAGGCCCAGGGACAAAATTTAAAAGTAAGGGAAATGGCATTTAGGCTGCGAGATGAGGAGTTCTTTCACTCAGAGGGTTTTTAATCATTGGAATTCTCTACCCCAGAAGGCATCAAAGTGCTCAATCAGCCACAATTGTATTAAATGGCACAGCAGGCTCAATGAGCTAATAGCCTACTCCTGTTCCTATGTTGCTAACAAAACCTATTTTTTCTCAGGCTTTTTTTTAATACATTATCAATCAGACCAAGATCTAGTCAATAAATCCCCACACCCACCAAATGAAAAAATGCAAGGATTTAAAGGAACCTTGCATCTGTTAGCATAATTCAATCTAAATTCCACGGCAGCTATTGCTGTCCCACAGCTCACAACCCAAAAACCTTGAACCCACAGTTTGGGAAACCATGCTGCAGAATGAATGGTTTCAATGTAAAATACGCCCTCTATAGTTGGACGGATGAAAATGCAAAGAAATTATTGCTGCTGTTGTCAATTAAGATAAATCTCTTATTTTTGCCTTATGCTGCTGGAGGCCCCCTTATGTCTGGTCTCAGCTGATCAATTGATATAAGTATTGGGTACAAATATATGAAACCCAGTGCAATTGTACAGATCAGTATCCTTCCTAATTCTAGATAACAATCTTGTGGCCATTAGTAGTGTAAAATTTCTATACTAACCAGATACTACCATCAATTTAGTTTAGTACATTGTGTTTCTTAACACATTGCACATATGACATATCTGTAATCCATCACATGATCAAGATTCCAAGTTCAGCTGCACTGCTGTTGGGACACAAGATAGTTGACAGAATTTTTGTCAGCAAAATGGAACAAGTGCCACCTATAAACTGTAAACAGCTGTGAACTGCAGCATCAGAAACTAGAAGCCAATTGCAAGATAGCTCTGCAACAAAAGCATTGTACAGATAGAAAACTAATGTTGGCTATAATTAGACAAAATTGCTATTCAAATGTGATTAAATTAAAGGACTTGAAATTGGTAAAATAAATGCACACCTTTTTCTGCATCCTCTTCTACATTGCTGTAATATTTAGTAAATTCATCGACCTCGTCCCCCGAGAACACCTTTGGTTCCACAAAGCTTAGCAGCGAATAGAGCTCATAAAGATTGTTCTGCGCTGGTGTTCCAGTTAGCAGCAGTGTGAATCGTACTGAAAACTACCAGTAAACAATCAGTAATCATTGGCAAATGCATTTCCACAAAACTGTTTTCATTCTTCAAGGAATAATGCACATTTCAAAACTTACAAAAACAACTCACAAAAAAAACACAGTATAGAACACTTGCATGTTAAGAATGTCTTACCGATTTCAGAGTCTTATGTAGTAAAGAGTTCTGGTTCTTCAACCTGTGGGCCTCATCCACAATCAGCACACTCCAATTCAGTCTGGAACACAATCCATTATTTATTGCACAGTTTAGCGGAATTGAAGATCAAAAAAAATTAAGTGTAAATAAACTAATTTGTTCCTCATCTACCCAGATAATCAACAGAGCAGCTAATTTTGGCAGATAATTTTTCTACCCGGATGTCAATGCCATATATTGCTCAATCTCTATGTGAAGACTGATTTTAACTTTTGACACTCTTTTCAAAAATAAATATCTGTATTTATTCATCATCAATTATTTGAGTAAAGATTTAGCAAAGATTTGTAGCTCGGGTTGTGGGTGAGGTTGTTGACTTGCTCGCCGAGCTGGCTTGTTTTCATTCAGTCGTTTCGTCACCATGCTAGGTGACATTATCATTGAGGCCTCCGATGAAGAAATGTTGTTCTACTCCGCTTGGAATTTATCCTGTCTGGTCCGTTATTCCTTAAAGAATGAAAACAGTTTTGTGGAAATGCATTTGCCAATGATTACTGATTGTTTACTGGTAGTTTTCAGTACGATTCACACTGCTGCTCACTGTCTGGTGAATAGAGTCATTTCTGGTTTTGATCTGCATGGGTTTGTATATAGGATCCAATTCTACATGTTTATCGATAGCATTACGGGTTGAAAACCATACCGCTAGGAATTCCCGTGCGTGTCTATGTTTGGCTTGGGCTACTATGGTTACATTGTCCCAGTTAAACTGATAGCCTTCATTGTCTGAAAGTACCAATATTAAGAAAAGTTCGTTATGTCATTTTGCTGCTAGCTGATATTCATGTATTCTGATGGATAGTTTCCTTCCAATGTTGCCTGTCCAATGTAATGTTTGTGGCAGTCATTGCATGGTATTTTGTTGGTTCTGCATGTTGTGGGAATGAGGTCTCTAATCCTTGTGAGTGCTTGTTGTAGATTGGCTGTGGGTTTGTGGGCTACCATGATTCCTAGTGGTCTTAAGAGTCTGTTGTCAATTCTGATATGTTCTTGATGTAAGGCAGCGTGGCCAGTGTGTTAGGGCGTACTGTGTCCTCCTGTTGTTGTCTGTTTAGTAGGCATCTGCGGATGAAGTTGCAGGGATATCGGTTCATAGCAAAGATTTTGTATAGGTGCTCTTCCTCTTTCCTGCGTAGTTTGAGTGTTGCAGTGTGTCGTGGCCCATTTAAATAGTGTCCTAGTGCAACTTTATTTGTGGACATTGGGGTGGTTGCTGTGGAAGTTGAGGATTTGATCAGTGTGGGTTGCTTTTCTGTATACTGAGGTTTGGAACTCCCTGTAATGCTATCAACAAACATATAGAATTGGACTCCATATACAAACCTATACAGATCAAAACCGGAAATGACATTACTCACCATAACGAACCAGAAGGTATAAATTCCAAGTGGAGTGCAACAAAATCACTTCATCAGGGGCCTCACTGATGATATCACCTAGCATGGTGACGAAACGTCTGAACGAAAACAAGCCAGCTCAGCGAGCAAGTCAACAACCTTATTTGAGTAAAGTCATTGTTTACTGAATGATTTTCTAACATTCATTTATTCACAGGATGTTTGTTGTTGGTGAGACCAGCATTTATTATCCCATCACTAATTGATGATTTTGACTTAATTATGAAGAAATATTAACATAATTCCAGGTTAGCATGGTGAAAGATTTGGTGCGGAGCTTACAAATGATGGTGTTCTCATGGACATATTACCCAATGAGATACACGCTGTCAATTCAGTTTGAACTATTGCAGAAAGGACTGATGAAGGCTGTATTCTAAATCGATGCAGCACACCAATCATTAGTGAGTCAATCTTGATATTTTGTCGATCCATTACACATACAGTATCCTCACTCAGCAAATATCAATTAGTATTAGAAATGCTAAGTGCTTAGATAAATAGGATGTTCAGTATAACTCCAGAACTTTGTTTTACTTTGATATTATTTCACCTAATTTTTAAAATAATTTTCTTAGAACTAATTATAACAGGTGAAGTATATGTTGATAAAAGAGCTTTAATAAAAAGAAGTACTTTTTTTATTTGCTTCCAATAGCATAACCAACTTGTATAGTAACTCACCTACTCAGGAAAGAAGCATCTTTCAAGCAAATCTAAATGAAACAGCAAGTAAAAACATTAATTATTTTATGTGGAATTATTTGCAACAAATCAATAAAGCAATAATTATGCATCCTGGCCACAGACAACAAGACATTGCATCTACTAATATCCATATTGTTACTGCTTAACAGACTAATAGCCATATGTTAAAATAGGCAGCAAAAGATTCAAAAATTTTCAAGGATTTTATTGTGGATCTGTAGTTTAACACAAACAGCAATTTTCACCTTTGCATTCCCCACTGTGGGGGAACCCAACCCTTAAATTCAAAGCCCAATTCTGGAGCTGTACTGTTTAACCCTTAAAAGGGGCTTGCATTTTTAACATGAACAGTTACCACCAGGCATTAAATTTTCGAAGTCATCTGTTGAGCACCTACATGTTTGAGTTAATTTTTTCCAATTGCAACAATATTTCGAGCAGATCCAAAATGATACCGATTAACTAATTTATTTAGCAGTTATACCTAATGTTAAAAAGAAGCCCCTAACCCTTACACTATGAACAAAATTCCACGTAAATAGCGATTCCTACTTCATGGTTTACAGCTAAAATATTAATAACGCAAGACATAAACAAAAATTGTACTTAGCCCACATGCATCCAACAACAACAGATAGAACAATTGGTTAAGCTTGGTACCCACGCGTGTCTTACAAATTGAAGATGTTACAATAATGTAGTAGTGATCGTATACACTTTATAAGTTGATGTTGGTTATAATTGTTACCTCATAAGTGGTGAGAAGTACATGGAAATTGCAATTTTTCAAGTCTTGTTGCAAAGCTTGTCTTGTATCCTTATCTCCTGTGTACACAACCACTGAAAGTCGTGGAGCGAACCTGCATAAATGAAAAACTATATATTTATTCTCACTCCTATAAGAATGTTTTGGTACAGCACATTGCACCTCCAACATGAACACTCAGTAACATGCAGGTTTGTTTCTGTGGCACACTATATAGCTGGCTATTCATTTAAACGACATCAATAAGAAAGGAAAAACTTGCATTTATGGAGCACACTACGTCAGGATGTCCAAAATTGCCTTCCAAGTATTTTTGAAGCATATTCACTGTTATTCTGTGAGAAACAAAGCTAGTCATACAAGTACTGTGCCTAAAATTGCAGGCCAGAGGCTAGAAATCTTGCAGCAAGTAACTCAACTCCTGACTCCCCAAAACCTGTCCATGATCTACAAAGCACAAGTCAGAAGTGTGATGGAATAATCCCCACACACCTGGATTAGCTTCAACAGCACTTAAGAAGCTTGACACCATCCAGGACAAAGCAGCCTGCTTTACTGGCACTACAACCACAAATATTCAGTCTCTCAAACACTAATATTCAGTTGCAGCAGTCTGTGCCATCAATAAGATTCACTGCAGAAATTCACCAAGACTCCTATGACAACACTGTCCAAATCCATGAACGCTACATCTAGAAGGACAAGGGCAGCAGATAAATGGGAACACCACCACTTGCAAGTTCCCTCCAAGCCACTCAGCATCCAGATTTGGAACTTTATCACTATTCCTTAAGTGTCATTGGGTCAAAATCTTGGAACTGCCATCCTAATGGCGGAGAGTACCTATACCAAATGGACAGTAGCAGTTCAAGAAGGCAAATCACCATCACCTGCTCAATGGTAACTAGGGATGGACAGTAAATGCTACCCAGTCCTCAACCTGCGAGTGGATAAAATAAAAAAAAATCAAATCCAACATGAAACCTAAGGCCAAAAAGAATTTTGAGCCAACGGAGGATACCTAGGATCAGGCTGCCAAACGTTTGCTTCAATGGGCAAATTTTAAGGATAATCTCATAAGAGGGGAGGTTGAGAGGCAGAGAGGTTTAGGAAAGAATTTCCGGAGTGTAAGAGCATCCTTTTATTGTTAATTGTTATTTAATCACTCAGAAACTCTCAAATATTGTTTAAAAATTATAACTTAAAATTTCTAATTAATAATTTCACAATCAGAGCTAATTAACAATGGAATTACTGATTACATACATTATCAAAAGATGAAATTCTCATTTGGTTAAGCTGTCACTTTGAGCTGTGCAATAAACTGTCATGGGAAAAGATGGTTGTAAAATTCTGGCCCTAGACAAGGGTATTAAATGCATAAGAAAATTTTACTGAACAAATCCGGCACCTTCTTTCGTCGAGTTATGGTGTACATAAATGTGTGCACTGAGTAAATGGATAAGAGCAACTCTCACTTTGGGTGACGATGATTCAGATGCAAATTAAATATCTCCTGAGTTTAATTTAAACTGAGGTGAACAAAATGATAATTAGGAGAAATTCTCTATTGTGTTTGTCACCCAAAATCAAATTCATCTCTACAGTGTTATTAATGTGGAGTACTTAGGCAAGCTAATTATTTTCATCTATTCAAAGCACCTGTTTTTACTTCACTGTTCTCCCAATAATGATAGGTTAAGAGAAAACTTTAAAAAAAAAGCAATCCAGAAAACAGAATAATTTTTATATTTTACATGTTTACCCTGCCAGTTCTTCTGTCCAGTTCTTCAGTACTGACAGTGGACACAGGATCAAAAAAGGACCTTTCTCCTTTTGTCTTCCAGTTAGGCAGAGAAGAAAACATATTGACTGAGAAAATGAAAGCAAAAATTTCATTATATTTGCAATATGTGCAAGTCTGCATCAAATCCCACCTGGTCACATTTCCAGCCCTTGGTGACCTACGCTGAAATATCCCAAATTTCTATAGGATTATCAGGAAACTAACATTTTATGATTGACATTATTTAGTTATAATTACACAATTAAAGTATACTCAGTGATTAATATTATAGATATTTGTAATCAACCTGTTCAGACAGGTGGGCCATGAACGAGGGCCTCCCGGCCCAGAGGTAAGGAGGCACTTTTAATCAACCTGTTCAGAGGTGTTATGATACATAAACAGAAGTTGCTGGAAAAGCTTAGTAGGTCTGGCAGCATCTGTGAAGAAAAAATCAGAGTTAACGTTTCAGCTCTGGTGACCCTGCCTCAGAATGGACCCAAAACATTAAGTCTGATTTTTCTTTACAGATGCTGCCAGACCTGCTGAGCTTTTCCAGCAACTTCTGTTTTTGTTCCTGATTTACAGGATCTGCAGTTCTTTCAGTTTTTATGTTATGATACATCTCTGGAGCAGGTGGGACTTAAACCAAGGCCTCCTAGCCCAGTGATAGGGATGCTACCATTGTGCCACAAGAGCCCCCTAAATCAGTGTTATATAGTCTGCTTAATCATATCATTGCAGATCTTGGTACTTGAACAGCATGCTTAGTCTGGCTTAAAGAAATGCACCATGGGATTGTGAACAGAGTGAAGACAATATACTTAATGTTTTAGAAGTATAACTGCAAGGGTGAAGCAGGCCTCTTATTTAGTTCATTCCAATTTCATATTTGAGAGAACATGCCATTTTCAGGACAAAGAAGGCAGAGTTGATACACTCCTAAATTGTCAGCCTTTATCAAGAAATCATAAGTCATAGCTCTGTTTCTATACTGGTGTTGCTTTTACTTGCTTCAGAAGATGAGATCATTCTAGATGATTAAACGTAAACTTTGTATCAGAATTAACTTGGTAAAGTTTGTAATTCTATGATCCTTTTCATTAGCCCAGATGGTATATCAAATAATATTTCACTACTTCACTCTTTTACATAACTCTGCACAATATTTTGTTTAGATTAGCACTTTGTGATCTTCGTATTAGTTTTTACATAGTTGTCAAGTTCATAGAATGATCATAGAATCCCTACAGTGTGGGAACAGGCCCTTCGGCCCAACAAGTCCACACCAACTCTCAGAGCATACCACCCAGACCCATCCCCCTAAAACCCACCTAATCTACACATCCCTGAACACTATGGGCAATTTAGCATGGCCAATCCACCCAGCCTGCACATCTTTGGACTGTGGGATGAAACCGGAGCACCCGGAGGAAACCTACGCAGACACAGGGAGAACGTGCAAACTCCACACAGACAGTCGCCTGAGGGTGGAATCGAACCTGAGTCCTGGCAGTATGAAGCAGCAGTGCTAACCACTGAGCCACCGTGTTATATCTGCTGCCTTTAAAAAATGTCAATGTAAACATTTTCCCAAGCATTCAAACACAGCAGGAATGAAAACAAACATCAGCTAGCTGATAGCTCGAAGCAAAGTTGAATGGTTAGTTTTAAGTGCCTGATTTAATGGGTGTTTTCTCAACTGAGTGAGTTCTGGAGAGGAGTCACCAGACCCGAAATGTTACTTCTGTTTTCTCTCCACAGATGCTGCCAGATCTGCTGAGTTTCTCCAGCAATTTCTGTTTTTGTAGCAATAAGCCTAACCTAATGTAAGACAATCAGAATGTAATGATGTAACTGATCATGCTGTGGGTTGTGGCTTGGAAAGAAGTATAAGCAACATCTTTCAGTAACATAAGGCTACGAAGTTTGAAAGTAAAATTACCCTGTGTCCGCTTGAAAGGACAAAGCCCACCAGGTGTTAGAGAGAGGCCAAAGGCCAAGTGTTGACCCGCACCCTAAGCTGAACAGGAAACCCGTGGATAAGGAGGCGCAGTAGTGATATGCGCACTGACCTCTACATTGCAAAGGCCAGGTGCTAGCTCTCTGACTAAAAACCGAAAGAACTACGGATGCTGTAAATCAGGAACAAAAACAGAAGTTGCTGGAAAAGCCCAGCAGGTCTGGCAGCATCTGTGAAGAAAAAACCAGAGTTAATGTTTCGGGTCCGGTGACCCTTCCTCAGACACCTCCTCCTACCTCCCCACTTCGATTATTACCCCACTCCTGATCATCAGATCATTGTCTCTTGGACCATCCGTAATCTTATCACCTCAGGAGACCTCCCACTCACTGCCTCCAAGCTCATCATTCCCCAAACCCACACCGCCCATTTCTATCTCCTTCCCAAAATCCACAAACCTGACTGACCTGTTGACCCATCGTCTCTGCCTGCTCCTGCCCCACTGAACTCATCTCCACATACCTTGACTCTACCTTTTCCCCCCTCGTCCAGGAACTCCCCACCAACATTCAGGACACTACCCATGCCCTCCACCTCCTCCAGGACTTTCAATTCCCCAGCCCCCAAAACCTCATCTTCATCATGGACATCCAATCCCTGTACACGTGTATTGCCCCACACAGATGGCCTAAAGAACCTCCGCTCTTCCTCTCCAGCAGGCCTAACCAGTTCCCGTCCAATGACACCCTCATCCGCTTCACAGAATTTGTCCTTACCCTCAACAACTTTTCCTTTCACTCCTCCCACTTCCTACAAACCAAAGGGGTGACTATGGGCACCTGTATGGGTCTGAGCTATGCCTGCCTTTTTGTAGGGTAGGTGGAACAGTGCCTCCTCCGCTGTTACACTGGCACCATCCCTCATCTCTTGCACTGCTCCATTGATGACTGGTTCGGCACCACCTCGTGCTCCTATGAGGAGCTTGAACAGTTCATCAACTTTACTAACACCTTTCACCCCAACCTCAAATTCACCTGGATCATCTCCCTCCTACCCTTCCTGGACCTCTCTGTCTCCATATCCAGTAACCGTCTCTGCACCGACATCTATTTCAAACCCCACCGACTCCCATAGCATTCTCTCACCCACCCTCCTGCAAGAATGCGATCCCTTATTCCCAATTCCTCCGCCTCTCCTGCATCTGCTCCCAAGATGGAGCATTCCACTCATGGACATCCCCGATGACGTCCTACTTCAAGGACCGCAACTTCCCCCGTCCATTGATCGAAAATGCTCTCACCCATATCGCTTGCATTTCCCGCACTTCTGCCCTCAAAACCTCTCCCTCCAACAAAAATAAAGACAGATCCCCCTGGACCTCACATACCACCTCAACAACCTCCGTATCTAGTACATCATCCTCTGCCATTTCTGCCACCTGCAATCCGACCCCACCACCAAAGAGATATTTCCCTCCCCACCCCTATCTCCCTTTCGTAGGAACTGCTCACTCTGCGACTCCCTCGTCCATTCCACACTCCCCACCAACCCTACCACACCAGTCACCTTTCCTTGCAACCACAGGAGGTGCTACACATGCCCCTACACCTCCCCTCTCACCTCTATCCGAGGCCCAAGTCAAAATTTCCATATCTGACAGGGGTTCACTTGTACATCCTCCAACCTGGTCTACTGTATCCATTGCTCCTAATGTGGCCTCCTCTACATTGGTGAGACCAAATGTAGACGCGGGGACAGATTTGCGGAGCACCTGCGCTCCGTACGCTGTCATCAACACCACTTCCTGGCCGCCAACCATTTTAACTCCCCCTCCAACTCCCTGGGTGACATGTTCATCCTGGGCCTCCTCCAGTGCCACAATGATGACACAAGCAAAATGGAGGAACAATACCTCATATTCCACCTCGGGAGCCACAGCCCGATGGCCTAAACATGGAATTCACCAGTTTCAAAGTCTCCCCACCCCTGGCCTCATCGCATGTCCAACCCTCCATCTCATCCCCGCCTCCTTGATCTGACACAACCTGTGCATCTTCTTGCACACCTATCCACCCACACCTCCCAATGACCAATCCCCACTATCCCTACCTGCATCCACATGTCGCCATCCCACCTATCTTCCCCCAGCCCCACCCCTCTTTCCTCTATTTATTTCCCAGCTCCCTTCCCCATCCCCAGTCCTGATGAAGGGTCTAGGCCCCAAACATTGACTGTCCTGCTCCTCTGATGCTGCCTGACCTGCTGTGTTCCTCCAGCTCCACACTGTATTGACAGGAAAGCTGTAACCACACCCACTAAATTGTCGCCCAACTTTGATAGGTATCATTTATAATCTAAGTAAAGCTTCTCAAGTTACTACACCAGACTGAATTAAGAAATTAATGTTAGGATTTGAGATTAAATTGTAATCAACAGAACTTGCACTCCCTCCAAGTTTTCAACCCTTCCTTTCCAAACCCTTCCCTATCACCATGAGCTCCGTCAGCCCTACAACCATACTGACAAATCGGTTGTTTCTCTGAGACTAATCTTTGGTGTATTCCTTCTTGCTTCTCCCTGCCACTGGAGGAACTGCGTTCTCGGCCCCAAGCTTGAGAATTCATTATACGATCTCTATAATTTCCTCTGTTCATTTAAAACTCTGTTTAAATGTCACCTCTTTGACAAAGCCTTTGGTCATCTGCTTGATTACTTCTTACTTGGGCTCAGCATTTAATTTTTTAAATACATCCATATGAAGTGCTTTACAAATGATGAATCAACAATTTATTGTTAACCACCAATTGTGCCACAATTATAATGGCCAATGGGATTTGCCAGAAAGTGATACCAGTAATCTATTACTATTTGCAATACACTGTCTCAATGGCAATATCAACAATAATTCTTTGAAAAACTAGTACACAAAAAACTGCCATTGTACAAGCTATCCTACCTGACATGTTTTACCCAGACCCATTTCATCTGCGAGGATGCTGCCATGTTGAATACTGTAGCGCTGAACCAGCCAATTTAAACCAATAAGTTGGTATGGACGAAGACTTATACCTAAGAAGAAAAATATGACTGGTAATAGACCCCGCTATTTGACATGGTACAAAATCAGGGAGTTTTGGTAAATACAAAATTAAACACATGAAATAAAAGGATATAGTTCATGAGAAAATTGGAGGGCAGAAAGAAAAGGTAAGCACAAAAGAAAGAATTCCAGGCTGGTAATTTATGATGACTGTTACTCAGTGTTGGGACTCCTCCTATTTACGACAGTTAAGTGATCTGAATTTAAGAGTCTAAGGAACAATGGCATTTTTTTTGCTCATGCTAGACTAGAGATATGAAGAACTGTGGTGAGGTTTTTAAATGGGAAGAGAACATTGCTAAGGCTAACAAGATGGACAGATACATTTTAAGGTAGAAAATATCAAATAATAAATTTTAGAAGCATTAGGAAACTAAATATATCCTCAATGAGATAAATAGTCAAAGAAATAGGTCTCTCAATGAGTTAATTGTTTAAGATTGAGGTGTTGCTAGACTTAGAGCCAATGTAGATGAGCACACAAAGGAACTTGTCACTGTTTTGAATGACTTAACCACTTACATTCCCCTGTCTTTCATTTTTTCCCTATTTCAAATGTTTGCCTGTTTCATTTTAAAGATTCCAATTTTATATTTTTCTGAAAGCTCATTATACCTTCTAATAAAACCCTCTTTGTAAAAAAAAAAGACTTTTCCTTCAAACTTATAGTCATGTTACTATATTTAAAATGGTATAAAAGCAGAGATAGGTAATGTGAGCTGGCAAATTTTGTAAAGGGATAGATCGTTAGCCAGAGCTGTTCTATATCAATGAAAGAAAATTCTAAAGGGAGGGCCTTGAATCTATGATTAAGTAAAAACATTAGTGTCAAACAATCAAAAATAATGACAAGCACAAAGATGAGTGGTTGGTCAGGAGATTTGACAGAATATGAAAAACAGCAAAAAACTATTAAGGGAGAAAAATATGTACAAGAGAAATCTCACTGGAAATATAAAAACAGATAACAGTTTTCACAAATATTTTGAAAAAAGTTAACACAGTGAGCATTCGTCCCTTAGAAAGTGAGCTTAAGTTATTGATACGGGAAAATGGAGGATTAACTGAATTATTATTTTGCATTGATCTTCACTTTGGAGATAAAGGTTACATTCCAGATATAGTTGTAAATCAGGACATGGAAGAAAGGGAAGAATCCGAATATTACAATCACAGGGGAAGCAGTATTGTGCAAACTGTTGGCGGTGTGGGCTGACAAGTCCTTACGTCCTGATGGACTTAATCCTGGGGTTTTAAAAGTGGCACCTGGTGAGATAGTTAATTCATCGGTTTTAATTTTCCAACATTCTTTATATTCAGGGAATGTTCCTTTAGATTGGTAAATAGCAAATTTAACACCTTTATTCAAAAAGGGACACAAAATGGGAATTGAAAGCTTGCTAGGGGACAGTAAAGAATTAACCATATTGTTGAGGGCATAGAGTCACAAGCAAGCCAGACCAGGTAAGGATGGCAGATTTCCTTCCTGAAAGGACATTGGAGAACCAGGTGGGTTTTAAAATAACTGACAATGACTTAATGGTCACCACTACAGTGAGTAATTCCTCATCTACGATGGTGGGACTGGAACTCATGTCCTCAACGTATTAGCTTGGCCTTCTGGATTATCAGTCTAGTGACAGTACCAGTATGTCACCTATTTTGCTGTGCCACAGGAATCCATACTGGGGCTCAACGTTCTACATAGAAATGACTTGGATGAGGGGACCAAAGGTTAGGGTTAATTTACTGATAACACAAGGATGGGTAGGAAAGTAAGTTGTGAAGAGAATGCAAGTAATCTACAAAGAGATATAGACAGACATGCGGGCAAAGACATAGCAAACACAGTATAATGTGGAAAATTGTGAAATTGTCCATTTTGGCAGGAAAACTGAAAAAGCACAGTCTAAATGGTGAAGGTTTGCAGAACTCTGACCTACGGAGGGTTCGAGGGGCTTTCATGCAGAAATTGCAAGTAAGTACAGCAAGCAAATGAGAAATTTAATTGAATGTTATAGTTTTGTGCAAGCAGAATTAAATACAAATGTAGGGAATTTCTGTTATGCAGGTGATACGACATCTACAGTACTGTGCACACAGTGGGCCCCTCATTTAAGGAAGCATGTAAATACATTAGCAACAGTATTAAGCAATTTTAGAAGGCTTACTAGACCCGGAATAGGCAAGTTGACTGATGAGAAAGGGCAACTTGAGTGAAGTATACAAGATCCTGAGTGTTTTGAAAGACAAATGTTATAAGGATGTTTCTGCTCACAGGACAATTCAGAACTAGGGGGTCACTGTTTATAGGTAATGGGTTGTCCATTTAAGACTGATGAGAAGAATTATTTTTCTCAATGGGTCGAGTGCCTATGGATCTCTTTCTCAAATGTGGTAGAAGTAGAGGCTTGGCAGAACATTTTTAAGCCAGCAGGAGACTGGTTCCTGATTAGCAAGTGAGTGACTGGAAGGTTATCAGGGATGTTGAATAATCAGATCAGCCATGATCTTATTGAATGGAAGATTTGCACTGAAGGGTAGAATGACCTACTCCTGCTCATGTTAATTTATTCTTGCAATTTTCTGATCATTACAAATCAACTTTTCTGATTTAGCCCATGAAAAGTAATAACACTGAACATCAAACACCCTCCTAATTCAATTTACTCAATACAAAGATATCTTATTTATTTTTGTAACTAAAATCTCTAGTTTCTGACAGTTGTACATGACAGCTGATGCAAAAATGCTCAACGTTGGCAATGGATGCAAATATCGAGGAAAAGTTCTGTTTTTGTTTTTGATTTACAATATCCACAGTTCTTACAGTTTTTAATACAGAGCTGGGATCAGGTTTCATTTATTTCGGATAAACAATGAGGCTGGCAAAATGCATTGAGGTTATTTCACTTTGTTTCTCATCAATAAGTTTATTTAGTAAACTGGTGAGATTACTATTCTTTTAATGTTGTACCAATGCATTTTTGTTATGTATACTTAACTCATCTACTCAAACTGCTCTTCCATCCACCACCACTGGAGTACTTGTGAAACATCAAATACAACTGAGGCTAAGACTTAGTTATGTTTGGCAATTCAAGATGCTCATTGTAATAATTTACAAGAAACAACAACAATGTTCAGTTGGCTCCTCTATCAGCTGATTGACATTTTAGTGTGTCCAGTTTTGATCACCCGGTACAGAAAGGATATTAAATAAAAACCCGAAGGGATATTAAATAAAAACCAAAAGAACTGCAGATGCTGTAAATCAGGAACAAAAATGAAGTTGCTGGAAAAGCTCAGCAGGTCTGGCAGCATCTGTGGAGGAGAAAACAGAGTTAACGTTTTGGGTCCGGAGACCCTTCCTCAGAACAGAAAGGATATTATCAAACTGGAAAAGGTTCTGAAGAGATTTACCAGGATGTTACCGGGTATAGAAGATTTGAGTTATAAAGAAAGGCTAGGACTTTCTCCACTGGAGCACAGAAGGTTGAGAGGTGAGCTGGTAGAAGTTAATGAAATAATGAGAGGCGTTGATAGTAGTTGTAATTTCCCTAAGAATTTCAAGACCGGGGGCACATTTTAAGTTGAGAGGAGAGAGATTTTAAAAAGACGAGGCTTTTTATTAGAGATAGTAGGAACTGCAGATGCTGGAGAATCCGAGACAACAAGGTGCAGGGCTGGATGAACACAGCAGGCCAAGCAGCATCATAGGGGCAGAGAGGCTGACGTTTCGGGCCTAGACCCTTCATCAGAAAAGGGGGAGGGGAAGGGGGTTTTGAAATAAATAGGGAGAGAGTGGGAGGCGGATAGAAGATGGATAGAGGAGAGGAAACAAACAGGTCGAAGAGGCGGGGATGGAGCCAGTAAAGGTGATTGTAGGTGGGGAGTTAGGAAGGGGATAGGTCAGTCCAGGGAGGACGGACAGGTCAAGGGGGCGGGATGAAGTTGGTCGGTAGGAGATGGAGGTGCGGCTTGAGGTGGGAGGAGGGGATAGGTGGCAGCAAGAACAGGTTAGGGAGGCAGGGACGAGCTGGACTGGTTTTGGGATGCGGTAGGGGGAGGGGAGATTTTGAAACTTGTGAAGTCCACATTGATACCATTGGGCTGCAGGGTTCCCAAGCGGAATATGAGTTGCTGTTCCTGCAACCTTCGGGTGGCGTCGTTGTGGCACTGCAGGAGGCCCAGGATGGACATGTCATCTGAGGAATGGGAGGGGGAGTTGAAATGGTTCGCGACTGGGAGGTGCAGTTGTTTATTGCGAACCGAGTGTAGGTGTTCTGCAAAGCAGTCCCCGAGCCTCCGCTTGGTTTCCCCGATGTAGAGGTAGCCACACCGGGTACAGCGGATGCAGTATACCACATTGGCAGATGTGCAGGTGAACATCCGCTTGATGTGGAAAGTCTTCTTGGGGCCTGGGATGGGGGTGAGGGAGGAGGTATGGGGGCAGGTGTAGCACTTCCTGCGGTTGCAGGGGAAAGTGCCGGGTGTGGTGGAGCTGGAGGGGAGTGTGGAGCGGACAAGGGAGTCTTTTTATTAGAGGGTGGTTCGCGTGTGGAATGAACTTTCTGATGAAGTTGTGGATGCGGGTACAATTACAACTAGTTTAGTTTGGGATTATTCCGCGCTGTATGACTCTACGACTCTAGAATCTGATTGGAGACTTTGGGAACTTTCCATGGACGCAAGAACTGTTTACAGCCGTATCGCTCTTCCGCGAGTGAATAAAATCCGTTCAAAAAGTGCAGTTATCGCAAAGTGGTTAATATTGAAAAAGAAAACTGACAGGTCACCATCATTACCCAATTTTCAGAGAGTGAGAATTATTTAGAAAGAGGCCAAGAAGTAGGTTATATTCAGGGCATGGGCAGTAATTGTTGAGTATGCCTCACGATTTAAAGAGAGGCCTGTGAGAGATAGTCGGATTAAGACAATTTAATAACTGGGTTTGAGGTGCCCAGGAAGAGTTTAAGGTTACTCAAGTGAGGCCTGTGACCAGTCAGGTGTCCTCAGCCCTCTCCAGGAGTCGGCTACAATCCGCTTAAACAGCACTGACCTGTCAACCCCCAACTCCTAACATCCTCCTCCTCAACTTGTTCAAACTCTTCCGGCTGGTTACTGAGTAAATTGCGAAGATTTTGTACAAAGTGAGGCATATCTAACTCTTTCTATGTTCACAGGAATTTTTGAGAACACCAAGGAGAGCAACTAACTGCCAGCCTGAGGACCTCCAGCACTAAAGAACGTACCGCACCCGGACAAGAGTGACCCCGCCCCGTGAGGGGGCAGCACGGAATGGGCGGGACCAACCCGTGACACAACGGTGTTCTACGTTAACGAACGGAAAGGGAGTGGGCGGAGTCTCCCGTGACGGAAAAAGGGAGGGGTGGGCGGAGTCTCTGGTGACCAAACAAAGGGGAGTGGGCGGTGTCTGCCATTAAAGGAATTGAGAGAGTGTGCTGGTGATTGGAAGATGTAGTCCTTCATAAAGTTTTCAATTAGAGATAGAGAATTTGAGAGAGGCAATGACTTAATGGGACCTTCAAAAGATATGAAATTAAAATAAATGTTGAACCATTGCTGCAGCGTCAGGGCTTGTGTAAAAGTAACAGAAACTTCTGCTGACAACAAGGTGCAGGGCTGGATGAACACAGCAGGCCAAGCAGCATCATAGGAGCAGAGAGGCTGACGTTTCGGGCCTAGACCCTTCATCAGAAAAGGGGGAGGGGAAGGGGGTTCTGAAATAAATAGGGAGAGAGTGGGAGGCGGATAGAAGAGGGATAGAGGAGAGGAAACGAACAGGTCGAAGAGGCGGGGATGGGGCCAGGAAAGGTGAGTGTAGGTAGGGAGTTAGGAAGGGGATAGGTCAGTCCAGGGAGGACGGACAGGTCAAGGGGGCGGGATGAGGTTGGTCGGTAGGAGATGGAGGTGCAGCTTGAGGTGGGAGGAGGGGATAGGTGGGAGGAAGAACAGGTTAGGGAGGCAGGGACGAGCTGGACTGGTTTTGGGATGCGGTGGGGGGAGGGGAGATTTTGAAACTTGTGAAATCCACATTGATACCATTGGGCCGAAACGTCAGCCTCTCTGCTCCTATGGTGCTGCTTGGCCTGCTGTGTTCATCCAGCCCTGCACCTTGTTGTCTCGGATTCTCCAGCATCTGCAGTTCCTACTATCTCTGAAACTTCTGCTGGCTGTGTGTGTGCTGTTGGCCAGAAATTACAATATAGCCTATTCCTCCACAGGGCATGTGCCTTTGAAGCCTTCACAGATATAACCAGCATAGATATGTGACCAGCGAAGGTTTTTTTTAAATTTCATTGAAGCAGACATTAAGTATTCCTGTCGACTTTGAAGGTAATGACAAACCACTGCAATCCATGGGGCGCAGGGACAGAAAGTGTTCTTAGGAATTAGTTCCAGAGTGTTTACCCAGCCACTGTGAAACAAAGGTGATAAGTATTTCCAAGCTATGGATGCTGTGTGGCTTGGTGAGGGAAATCATGGATCATAGAATTCCTACAGTATGGAAGCAGGCCATTCAACCCTTCGAGTCCACACTGATCCTCCGACGACCAACCCCCCCCCCCCCCCCCCCCCCCGCAGGACCCGTCCCTTACCTTATCCCTGTAACCCTGCATTTTGTATGGCAATTTAGCATGGCCAATCCACCTAATCTGCACATCTTTGGACTCTGTGAGAAAACTGGAGCACCAGAGGAAACCCACACAAACACAGGGAGAATGTGCAGACTCCATACAGACAGTCACCCAAGGGTAGAATCGAACCCAGGTCCCTGGTGCTGTTGGCAGCAGTGCTAAGCACTGAGCCACTGTGCTGCTAATATTTATAAAAAACTTTCAGACACTGGTGTTAACATAGTGTGGAGCTGGAGGAGCACAGCAGACCAGACCTGGCTCCACACTGTGTTATCTCTGACTCCAGCATCCGCAGTTCTTACTAACTCAGATGCTGTTGTTCCTGTGTATCTGTTGTACTTGTCCTAGGTGGTAGAGATTGCAGGTTTGGGAGGTGCTGTAGCTGTGAACAATACACCATATCAATCTATCTTGGTTTTGGTATTGTTTAATGTGGTAATGTTATTTAGTAATCGAATAAAAAAATCAGCTGAAAATTAGAGATCATAATACAAATGTTAAGTTGGAAAGCATAGGAACAGGAGTAGGCCATTCAGCCCCTCGTGCATGTTCCACCATTCAATGAGATCATAATTGATCTGTGGCCTAACTCCACATACCAACCTTTGGCTCATATTCTTTAAAACCTTTGCTTAATAAAATAATTATCTTTCTCAGAATTTTAAAAAAATTAACAACTGCTCTAGCATCAACTGCCTTTAGTGGAAGAGAGTTCCAAACCGCTACCATTGTCTAGGTGTAGAAGTAGTTCCTAACATCTCTCCTGAATGGTCTGGTCCTAATTATTAGACCAGTTCTAATATCTCCAACTAGTGACAATAGTTTATCTACACTGTCTTTTCTTGTTGGCATTTTGAAGACTTTGATCAGCTCACCCCTTAACCTTCTAAATTTTGGGGAAAACAGGCCTAATTTGTATAATCTCTCCTCATAATTTAACTCCTGAAGTCCAGGTATCATTCTGATAAACATCCAAGGACAATATATCCTTCCGAAGATGTGGTACCCAGATCTGCTCAAGTACTCGAAGTGGGATCTAACCAGGGTTTTGTATAGCTGCTGTGTCCTTATACTTCAGTCCACTAGATATAAAGGCCAGCATTCCATTTGCCACCTTGATTATTTTCACAGAATAGAATCCCTACAGTGTGGGCCATTCAGCCCAACAAGTCCACACTGCCCCTCCGAAGAGCATCCCACCCAAACCCATTCCCCTAATTTCCCATATCTAATCAATCTAACCTAAACATCCCTGGGCACTATGGGCAATTTAGCATGGCCAATCCATCTACTCTGCACATCTTTGGACTGTGGGAGGAAACCGGAACACCCAGAGGAAACCCATGCAGACACGGGGAGAATGTGCAAACTCCACACAAACATTGTCCTAGACCACATGATACAGTGACCGGGAGGAACTGAAAGAAACCAGTATAAGTAGAGAAATCATGATGGGGTAATTGATGGGATTAAAGGTCCCAATAACATGCATCCCAGACTACTTAAGGAAGTAACCTTAAAAATAATGTATGCATTGGTTGCCCAAGACTGGAATTGAACCCAGCTCCCTGGCACTGTGATGCAGCAGTGCTAACCACTAAGCCACTGTGCCATCCCTGCACTGCCCCTGTATCTGTTTTCTGCATCTGCATCTGCATTTTCTGCATCTGTTTGTGGCATTTTAAAGATCTATGTACCTGAACCCCTCAAGTCTTAATTGGGCATCCACTGTATTTTTTTATATCATCTAAAAAGTATCCTGATCTAACCTCTTTTACTCCAAAAGTAGATAACCACACACTTGGTCACGTTGAAAACCATCAGCCACAATTTTGTCTATTCACTTAGTCTATCAATATCCCTTTTTAATATTATGCTATCATTGACAATGCCACCCAGCCTTATGTCACCAGCAAATTTGGGTATATGACTTTCCATACTATAATCCAAGTTGTTAATAAATGTGAATAATTAAGAACCTAATACAAATTCTCATGGGACACCATTAATCATATCCTGCCAATTTCAGTACCTACCAATTATCCCTAATTTCTGTTTCCTGCCACTAAAACAATTGTGCAGCAAAGTCAGAAATTTGCATTCAATTCAGTAGGCTTCTACCTTAAGTAACAGTCTCTTATGTGGGACTTTTATCAAATGCCCTCCTGAAATCCATATAAAGAAGATGCATAGACCAACCCCTCCAATCCATAGGAACAGTTCCAGAATCTATAGATGTTGAAAAATCACCACCAATGCATACATTATTTTTAAGGCTACTTCCTTAAGTAGTCTGGGATGCATGTTATTGGGCTCTCGGGACTATTTGACCTTTAGTCCCATCAATTACCCCATCATGATTTCTCTACTTATACTGATTTCTTTCAGTTCCTCCCTGTCACTGTATCATGTGGTCTAGGACAATGTCTGTGTCCTCCTCTGTTAAAACAGAACCAAAGTATGTATTTAGTTGGCCTGCCATCTCTTTGTTCCCTAGTACAACAAAGCAAGTCGATATTTCAGCATTGCACGCCAGATATTTGGATAGCAATACCCAGAGAAGGACAGGAAGAGACAAAGTATACAAACATAGAAAAATAGCAGTAAATAGGGTCAATCAGTGGAAAAAAGTCATTAAAAAGGCAAAATGAATGGCTCGTTACTTGAATACACATAGTATTTGGAACAAAATAATTGAATTAATGGTAAAATTCAGGTTAACAGATATAATTTTATAGCCATTACAGAGACATGGTTATAAGAAGATCAAAGCTGGAAACTAAATATTCAAGATAAATGAGTTTTTGAAAGGACAGGCAAGAAAGAAAGGGTAATAGAGTAGCATTGTTCGTGTGGATTGAAATAAATATGATAGCAAGAAATGACCTTGAACCGGAAGATGTTGAATCCATATGTGTGGAATTAAGAAAAAAGAAAGATACCGGTAAGAGTTGTATGTAGGATCCCCAACAGTAGTTTTACACTGGGACTGAGAATTAATCAGGAGATAATGAGGGCATCTATCAAAGGCAGTACATTAATCATAAGTGACTTTAATCTACATGTAGATTGCGATAGTCAGATTGGCAGAGAAAGCCATGAGAGAGAATTCTCAGAGTGTACTTGGGACAGTTTCCAACAACAATGTGTGGTTGATCCAACCAGGGTTCAGTTTATTTTGGATCTGGTGATGTGTAATGTGGTGTAATTGAAAGAATGATCTTAGAGTAAAAGATCCCCTCAGAAACAATGACCATAACATGATAGAATTTAGCATTCAGTTTGAGGGAGAGGAACTGGTCAGAAACAACCGTGCTAAACTTGGAAAAGGTAAATTACAAAAGAAAGTGGGCAGAGCTGGCTGGAATGGACTGGTACACAGCAAAGACAGTTGAGGAACAGTGGCAGATGTTTAAGAAAATAGTTTGTGGCTCACAGTAAAGACATATTTCACTGAGAAAGAAGAATTCTAGGAATGGAATAAGCTAACCATGGGTTAACTAGGGAAGTTAATGATAGCATCAGATTGAAATAAAAAACAGAGAATGTGACAAAGATTAGTAGAACACCAGAGGATTGGGAAAGTTTTAAAAACTAAAATACAAGCTGGCCAAAAAAAAGGAGAAAATAAGCTTTGA